TTTTGTGTTTTATTGATATTTCGTGTGGAAATTCCAGTACTTGCGCTGTTCAGTTCACAACCGAGGTGCTTGGACAGCGAGTCTAAATCAAAAGCGAGTAAACATCTGGATGTCTTACAAGAGCGGTTTCGGCATATTACACGAAGTCTAGGACTAGTGCCCACATGTCAGTCCTGCATTGACGTATATGCTGATATAATACTAGACATGCAGTGTATAAGTAAACAAAGACGAACATATCAGCAATCGTCTCTTTCATGTCATTTGAGCCTATCCAACTTGCGTCTGATTTTTGACAGCTTTAATTCTTCAAATGTATCAATAATTGGCGAATTTTCAAACATCTTACTAATTGCAGTATAATAAGCCAAAAAACTTCAAACCGAGTAAGAAGCAAATCAAAATTGAGTCATTTTTGAAATTAGCAAGCACGGGTATCGTCAGTATAATAACTTGCAAGAAGATTTCATTATTCCCGGATGCCCGGCCAAGCCGTTATAGCTCAGTCATCATTTCTTGGTCGGATGTAACATTACAACTGTGCTAATGATGTGTATTGATTTTCGAACTACTTCTGTTTCTCTATCAACATTTTTCCTGAACTTTTTGTGATGGATTAAATAGCATTCTGTTTGAACTTCGATTAGTTCGATTCGCCTTTGCCCTACCGTTGTCCGTGCGTGCTCACGTTTCGTGCCGCCATGCTTTCTTAATTATTTATTTTTGCTAGAAGTGCTCAAAGCTCTTTGATGCTTGAAGGCACTTCAGCACGAGCGAAGATCCTCAATAGTCATTTCTTCTCAAAATTTGCTTTCTTTCTGATTCCACTGCTTTTCTTCTTCGGCATTCTGTAGCAGTAGTATGTTCGAAAGCTGTAATTGAAAAGAAGGACATCTGTGTGAGCATTTGGCCATTCTTCAGCTTCCCCATGCTCTTCAAACCCCTCAGATCACTGCTTTACTTTATACTTTGCCATCCTTTACGAAAGGAAGCCGCCAGTCACACTCAATGTCTTAATCCCCCGTGCTTATTGCCGTCTTGAGCCCCTGCCTTCTTTAAGCCCTATGACCTCGCCTTGCGTCATTTCCAACTTGATGTTGATGCTGAATCAAAAATTTTTAGGACGTAGAAGCGCATGTGATATTAGGTTATAGCCGTGAACATGCCTTTCTTATCAAGCCCCACCAACAGCTGTAGACTTCTCAAAAAAGTTATTCGCTTGAGTTGCCTAAACAGTAGATTGTTGGCAACATCTCATTCTCTCCTTATCGACATAAGTTATGGGAAAGAAGTTCATATTAGAAGTAAAAACCCCAGTATTGATTTCCTCCGAGCTCCACTGCAAATAATAGTGAAGAATGCATTAAGAATATTGAAATGTATATCTCAAAACTGTGTGGTAGCTAACGAGTAACTTCTGCGATCATTCTTGGGAGCATCTTCAGTTTCAATTTTTTTTTGAGAGAGAGAAGCTTGTCTAATATCAACACTTGGGTATGAATGTCAATTAGGAACTTTGCTATGCTACTAAATACTAGATTCATAGCCGACTATGTTGTACGGTTTACCGAACATTCGAGATGACAGTTCAGCACTGTTAAACGTTACTGATTGCATACAGAGCTACGTTGTCCAGTTATGGTGTACTACTCGCGCGAGATCTTTCCTGAATTCCGCAGGAAATCATTCCTTCATCGACTGCGGCTGCGAGCTGAGGTCCAAGAGAGTCTTAGAAGCCAGGGTGCTTCCATATGCATGCGGTAGCACTTTAGCCTTGAGCTTGTCATGCGCATCAGTCAAGATATTCCGCTGTGACTGACTGGAAAGTTCCTCTTCTAAGCAGCCACAGCGCCAGCGGCAAGGAGGTTGCGAGCACGAGCGCAACAAATAATTGATGTGAGGTTGTTGGAAACAATCGGACATTGTGACTCGTAACAATGGACGCGAGCGCGGTCTATTCACAAGTACCCAACTCGCTCGCGCTTGGAGTCGCTGTCCTACATCCAGACTCTCGCAAGTGCACCTTACAGCTTGTCTTTTAGTCAGCAGAAAACCGTGTCTTAAACTCTTACTGTCCGTTTTCCTTCTTCCCGCCATTGCCACTGTCTCTTTCTGCTTCAGCGATCTAGCAACGTACAGATCCCGCTAGGCCTGCTGAGGTGCTCTTTTTCCGACAAGCCTTGTCGGCTAAGTACGGCCGCTTGACAGCTGCTGCGCCAGTTGTCAACAGTCGCGGTGCCCTGGGCCGCAGATCATCGGCGTGCGTCTGTTCGCCAGAAGTGTCGCTACAGAATTCGCGCGACTGCTGCCCGACTCCAAGCTTTCGATCACTCACATCTGCGGCTGCTTTTTACGCGGATCGTTTCTCTGAAGTATAGCGCTAACGATTCGACTGCAATGAAACCTCCCTTGCGTTAGGTATTTTTATCGTCACGTTTGCTTCCATTTTTGAACAGTGCTATCAATTCTTGTTCATTATCAAAAGTAATCTTACATAGTTTTGAGTCGCGTAGCGCGAAAGTTATCGCATGACGATTAATCCAAAAGGAAGCTGATTTTTACATGCTCGATTTTGAATTCGACAATGCTATAAATCATAGTGTGACCTGTACATTGATGAAGGTTCTACGATAGTTTGTTTCTTCAGTTGCCAAGCTAATAACATTGAGAAACTTTCCTGTGCCAGCCTGCTAACGGCCATATGAAAGATCAGCATAACTACATAAGCTTATGAGCAAGCATTGCTGAAGAACTCTTTGCTAATCTTGAGCTGAGTCAACCAAGCAAGTATGGAGCTTGGGGGCATCTCGCACTCTTGAGCGGCTTTGCGCAAAAAATTTTTTGAAGCAAAGGTTGCATTACTTTCAGTGGCCTATTCACCATCCTCCTGCACAGTTTTTGTGTTTCACTTGCCTTTCGATTCACGCAGCAAAACGCCCGGGAAATCGCTAGTCTTTGAAATCTTGCCGATGTTTTCAATATTAGTAATAAACTCAAGGAATTTTGGGAATCAAGTGACTTCAACCCCATGGTGCCATTTCTGATAGACGCGATTGTGATAGTGCCTGCCGGCAACTCGGACGCCAATCCGGACATCTTTGTCTTGATGTTCACGCCTCCTTCCCGTTCATTGAATAACGCAAATTAGCTACGCTTTATTCCTTGTGCGCAATCAATCCATCCATTCAGAAACATCCTCCCGGACACATGAAATTTTGCAGCTGTTGTTTCCTTCTGGTCCCCCCCCCTCCCCACAAAACCTCTTAGAACAACAATGATTATTGTTGATAAGCAACATTTATGTTATTTTCATAGATCTAGCAGTTTTCTAGTATTTTTGAACCATAAGTCAAAAGCAGGTCCAAAAGTTTTGTAGGGATTATGAAGAGCAGATCGGTACAACTCGTACTTATAGCTTTTGCTCTCTGCAGTCCCCAGTCTGATTAACTCGTCTTAGCATACCTATCCATTTGCAAGGGTAGAGAAATTGGTAAAGCCTCTTGTCCATAGTCCCAAGTGTCCATGCGTCTTAGACTGATGACTAGCTTGATATGATAAGGGATCCTCCCAAAGTGCTATGGTCATGGTTTTTAGTTTTTGCTGTTTTATGTCTCCATTGAGCATTTTGACTTCAGAAGCTCGCCAAGTAACAGATTTCCTCGTAAGTGCTGCTACGTTGAAGTCTTGTGGTCTCTTCCGCTATTGCCAAAACTTTCATAAAGCTTACCAAGCAAGTCAACTAATGGAGTAGCGCAATACCGCTATCATTTATTGTCGTGATCTTACTCCGGGCCTCCCCCCTCCCTTTTTTTCAACAAGTAGACGCATTTCACACAATCTAGTCGTTGCATGACGCGGCAGGATAGGTTATGCCTTTTGGTATGATAAGACCAAGCTTTTTTTTTGTTGCTCGCTTTGTGCAAGATACATATGACCAACACTGTTTTATAAATTTGTTATCCTTGTCTTGACTCTGTTCTGCATCAAATTATCCACCGGAGAAACTCTCGAACTCCCATGCATGTTTCATATTTGCACATTCCATGGTTTTCATAGGCATCCAACTGTGCTAATCTCTCCAATCTAAGGCGCAAGAACTCAAATGCAAACAAGTTTTTGATGTTTGCCATCTGCATTTAGCTACCGTTGTAGGCGCTGTTTCGCTGACTGCTGTCAAAGCAACATACAGGTTGATAAAGCATGAACGTAGAAAATCCGGTGAAAACAAAGCAATTGTCTTGTTATTTGAGGATAGGATGCGGTCTCCCGTATCAGTTTATCATGAGAATGGTGGCTCGTCATTGACTAAGATAATGAATCTGGCAAATCGCTCTATACTAGAAGAAGCTGGAAGAAGTTCGCATTTGAATTGGGAAAAATCGTAGTCGTCCAACAAATCCTCGTGGCTCTGCGGGGCTACCATAATGTCGCGTAGTTGCAAAATCATCCAATATTTATTCAAATTGGTTTGAATTGAGCTGGGGCTCATCAGCGGCAAGGGACCAGTAATGATCCACTTCCACTGTCATCGATCACAACCACCTCACACAGCCACAGCACAGACACATTGCTAAGCTATGTGAATGTTTGCGTAGTGGGGAGAAAGCTAGTTTTGCCTGCACCTTGCGCTCGCCTCACTCATGTGCTGGGTAACGGCGGTCGAATCTTCGGAGATGGCTGCATCAGACAGACCGCTCTCTCGAAAACCTCCGTAAATTGAGAGACGAAGAGGAGACGTTAGCCGACAGTTCCATGCACTTGAGTTTTTCGCTTCATGTTTACAGTAACAGCTGCTGAAGTACCTACTCCACCTTGCGTCAAGAGAAGTGGACATCGTTGTGTACCAGTAAAACCAAAAATTCCGATTGCACCTATCACTATCGCACCCAATCAGATGATCGCTGTCGGATCGATGACGATGATGGGCTGGGATATCGCGAAATAGCGCTGAGTAAACAGCAGCAGCGCCGATCAGACATAACCAGCTGTGTAGCGAAGAGATGCTAGCTACTGGATCGAGAGCTGAGTTACGTCATAATATCGGGTTCTGGCCATCCGCGATGGGGTTAGCGTTATGTCGAAAACCCCACAACTTTTACCCGCTAAAGTCTCTTCCTGCGGTCTATTTTCTATATATATGCAGACGATGATTCATGTTCTTTCTAAGATCATACTGCTCTGGATAAGACGCTGTTTTTTGAGGTTCGCCGGAGGTAGCTGAGCTTCTTCGTCCATCCCCGTCCGGCATCAGCCGTAAACTAGGGCCTCTCTGACCTTATGTTCCAAGTCACCCTATACTACCGGTGTACGGCTCGTACACAAGATTTAGCGTTAAAAGATGTATATTTATGCTCCCATTGTATGTTGTCCAAAGAGTGTCCACTCACGGCGACACTTGTGTTCGAACAAAGGAAGCCCTTCCATTCGAGCGACAGCGTTCATCAAACCGCTTGAGCTGCATGTTTATCGTGTTAAATCATATCCCTTATCACTGATTTCAAAACAAATACTATGTGTAGAGAATTAGTCATTCATTCTAAGAGAAGCCTTTTTACGTCCACATCAGAATCTTTTGTAGGTTTTCAAAAATTTTCTGCAACTTACACCTCATACCTCCTTTTTGATCTTTGATTCGAATGTCGTGAAATTACGATCTTACTTTTCAAATCTGTTCGTGTTTTGGCTGCTTCTGAAAACGTGTCCAGTCATTACCACAACGTTACAACTGGCACTTATTTCCAGGCGTAACAAACGCTCAAATATCTTTGCTGCCCTACCTACGCACATGCTGTTGTAAAGCACTTGATATTCAATACAAGAACTACAAGAAACGCCAGCCGCGAGCTTTTCAGAAAATCGAGAAAACCCGACCGATCAGGTGCAGAGCTGTCGCGATGCACATGTGCGACAGCTGATTTGTACAAGTGGTCTTCGCTGGGCCCAATCTTGCTGGGAGCTTGCACACTTGATACTGAGGCGAATTTCTTTGAAGTGCTACATTTTGATGATATTTGCTCATTTCAAAAGAAATGACAGATCGCGATTGTTGCTTTCCGCTTGGAGAAGCTCGAGGCTTTCGTTGAGCACAGCGTGCGACAGTTGCCCGGGCGGCTGTCAGCTCGGTGTTGACTCTCAAACCTCCCACTCTCCCTCAATCGCCAAAGTGCTCTGAACGCTTCCAGCGCCCGAGGTGCGATCGGTTCCAAATTTTAAAGCTTCTGGCCAATCGCTCACTTCTCACTGTTATTCAGTCTTGCATGATGCTCCTCTCGCTACGATGCCGTCTATGATTTTGAACATACTGAGTAGTTGCTCTTGAATCGCAAACACGCTCTTTATTTTCAGGCTCTTCTTACATCCCGCAGGGACATTTGTGTGCAGTGTGCAGTGTGCAGTGTTTGTAACGTTCACATAGGTGAGTACATAAACCTTCATCGTAATCTGGAGAGAAATCGATAAATATAGCAACTTTTGCTAGTCGTTTACGATAATCAATAATCTTATGTTTGCTTGTGAAGGCCACGATGCTTAGGGTTACCACTAGAGTGATCAAAACCTCAAATTAATATCCTGGAGTATTCTGATTCAAATAGTTTGAGATACCCCGCGTATAGTATTTTTTTTCTTTTGCCTTTATTCTGAAACATTTGTACTAAGGACATGAAGAATAGCCAATTTTGTAATTGGGATTCATGGAATGAGCCTCCATATACTTCGAGCGTTTTTGCTTCATTGTTCACTAAAATCAGAGAATGTCAGAGGTATTTCTGTCTAATTTTGAAGTTCGATGATCTGCAGAAACACGATTTCCCTATTTTCAATATTCCACGTAGAGTAATGGCGAAGTAATGTTATGTGGTGGGATCTATTTGAAATTGAAATAGCACTTATTATGCAACAAAATTTACCGCTTCTCGGAAGTGTTCCTCGTTCATATCTTGTCGAATGTTTGGCTTTCACCGGCCGATGGTACACTACCAGAAGTCCAAAGTTGTAGCGTATGGGTTGGTTCTTTTTGGTGTATCAAGGTTATAGGCCCCTTCGCTCTCTCATGTTGAATTCTCACAATCTTCCTTTCAGCGTACTTTTTGGTAAACGATGTCATACATCATAATATTCGCAATCAGTTGACCCGCAAAGAAAATTAAATCTGCCCGATTATTTTCTTTTTCTGTACAAATGGTTAAAGCAATCTACAAGATCTGGGATTTCGCAGCTAAGACCAACGCTTTCAGATATGCTTCCTTCGTCAGTGTATGGACAATTGAGTGATCCGTTGGTACAGGCGGCAGCAGCGGCGCTGGCTTCTGCCGGAACAGATTCGGTTATAGGTAGGCCCGGTTCTGCTTGCGCGAATAAATGTTTGTATGAGTGCGTATGTGTTGAAGTAGTGGAGAGTGAGAGACAAGAGAGACACCGAGCGCGCAGGACCCGGTTTGGGCCTGTTTTGAGTCACGTGGGTTAATGCCATGGAGCTTCGTCTCCTCCCTTGTGAATGTGGCGAAGGGGGAAAGAACGCAAGCGAGCGCGACTTATTTTCTCCGTGTAGTACAAATACTTTGTCATTTGTTTGTGATTGAACCGTCACATTGAATCACAATTCAGGAAGTCGCGATACGATGTTTACCAAGATATTCGTCGGTGGTCTACCATATCATACTAGCGACAAGACACTTCATGAATACTTTGAACAGTTCGGAGATATTGAGGAAGCCGTAGTCATCACCGATCGTCAAACGCAAAAGAGCAGAGGATATGGATTTGTGAGTGTACAACTTAGAATTGTGTCCTGGTCTCCTGAAGTGACCACTCGAACTGCATTTTTGATTGACTGCCATGCTGATTCTGGCCAGTAGAGTTCAATAGTGCATGGGTGTTATAAGGTCAAAACTACCTTCCTTCTCCGTGTGTTCCTTCGTTCATGATATCTTCCGAAAGACAACGCACACTGTCTATTTGAGCTGACAATGTAAAAACGATTTGTACTCCTTCAAAGCTCAGACCTTCTAGGTTACTATGAAGGATCGCGCAGCGGCGGAGAGAGCATGCAAGGATCCAAATCCAATCATTGATGGGCGGAAAGCGAATGTAAATCTCGCTTATCTTGGTGCCAAGCCGCGTACGAACGTACAGTTAGCAGGTGAGTAGCAGCGCAAGGCAGAATAACTCTTACTTAGGACTCGATTGCCTTGTTGGGAGAGCTCTATTCAAAAAATGACTCCTTTTCTACATGACAACTAACGTATTTGGGTTACAATCGTCCAGCCAGTTTTCCACCGTGTTTTTGTACACTTCACGTTTTGCTCGGCCTTTGTGGAAAATCAGTGTGAAAAGTGCTCGTACACCGAATGCTACAGACTGTTACGGAATTTCCTGTGAGAGTGAAACATCTTGGCCCATTGCAGCACTGGCGAATCAAGTACAATTGCCTCTGCAGACACAGCTACAGGCCCTGTTCCCCACACGTATCGGGTGAGTATATTAGAATGCTTTTTTGTTTGTGGTAACCTAAGCTACTGAGTTAGCGCCACCAATGTGGTACCAAAGCCAAGCCGTCCCTGCTGCTATTCGACGAATGCACCTTATTTTAGCTGTATGCTCTGTGGTTGAGACGGAATAGAGAAACAAACAAACGCACACAGTGCAAAATGTAAGGTTAAGCGTGCGTGTGCAGATTGATTCCATGCTGTGTGTGAGGGTGGCGGGCTTTGTCGATTCCTAGCCCGTCCACCTAGCCTGTCTAGCTAGGTGATCGTGGTGAGGTTGTCGAAAATCATCTTTCGGCATTTGATTCCAACAAACCAGCATAACTAGCTAGCTTGTGAGGTTGGCACGCAATGAGCAACCGTATATTATCGTTCCATTCACTTTCCTCTTTTGGCCACCCACAATTACCTAATTCTTTTCGCAACTAACAGCGATTCGTGCCGGCACGCATGTGCGTTTGGGGTGAGCTGCGTGTGGCGTCGGACAACGAACTTAATGCTCAATTACAGACTGCCGCAGCTCTACTACCCGTCCGGCCTGATCAACCCGCTTCTGGGTGCGGCAGCCGCGCAGAGCCAAGGCGCTGTGGACTACTCCGCACTCGCAGCGGCTGTGGCAAATGGCCAAGGAGCCGGTGCCTATGCCATACCTCAGGCAGGATCGCGATTTCAGGGTAAGTAGTCACGATCTAGATGCGTGCTTTGATAACGTTCGGACAGAAGAAGTTCAGAGATTTACCAGTCAGGACACATGCATGGGATGATATACATAGCGCCCAGACTGAGTTGCTTCAGTTTGGATAACTTCTACTGAAATGAAGTGACCAAGGTCATCTTCACAAATCAACATTTATTTTTCAGTACAAGCAGCCCAGGCGGCCGGATTAGATCCCTACGGGTACGCCGCCGCGGCTGGCTACGGTATCGTTCCCGGAGCTTATCCGCTACAGTCAGCCCAGCTCGCTGCAGCCCAGCAACAACTTGAACACCAGCGAGTCTAACAAGCTACTTCCAGGATGCGCTCTTTGTCTTCGTTTATTGTTGTTGCTTTCTTGAACGTCACCCCTCCAATCTCATGTAGCGACTAACATACCAACAAATCCAAAGATAACGAAAATGTGGTGACGAATACCAAAAAATCCTATCAACACCGCCACGTGTTCCTAAACCCGTACAGAACTAGTCTTGTCTTAGATATAGTCGACTAATCGACACTCGCGAGTATATGTTCTATGTCCAGCCTCAGTTGCCTGATCATGTGCCATCTACTGCAAAAACAATTATCTTTTGTCGAAATTATTTTCCTCATAGTCTATTTTGCTGAGGTCACACGATGTTCTTCGTGTTATTATTCTGATAGCTCATATTATTGTACACGAATTTTACAAGCCATTGATTTCAATCTCAAATAATTACTTCACAATAGTATCGACTATCATGTGTCGTTTACATAGCGTGGGCATAGAGTTACATAATCCATATGTAAATCTTAATGCATAGTACACGTACAATCTTAATAAATAACTATCTTCGTTCTGTGTTCCACTTGTCAATGCTTGTACAGGCGCCGTATATTGTTTGCCTCTGATAGACTGTTCTATCTTGAGAAATGCCATCATTACTTGACTCCACGTGGTCCTATAAATACCATCGTATTATGTCAACATAGAACCAAGGATTCGCCCAATCCCTCATAACATCTGAGACCAAAGTGGTTAAAATGACTGGGCAATTGACGATTCACCCAAAATAAATTGCTTTTATCCTCTCTCTGATCTGATTTGCCCCTTACCAATATTTATTATCCGGGCAGAAGAAATGCAGGAAATGTACCCAGTGAATTTCGATGACAACGGTCATCAGGGCAAGCGTGAACTGTTGAGGGGCATAAAAGGATGTCGTAGTTATGGGGGGGGGGGGGGGAGGCGCATTGTAAAAGAGGTCGCGGATTGTATAGTAAGTGGCCAACTGTGTGAACTTTTCCCTATATGAATATACATGTGCCTATCACTAGGCTTCACGCTATAGATTATTTTGTTTACTGAATTTCGCTGAAGTTGAATCGCTCCAATTTTGTGAAAATAAAGAAACCCTTTAGCGACAGTCAATGAAACTGACCTGAATAGTCACCATGGTAGCCGTTCATAGCTCCATCTGTATTCTCATTCTCATTTTCCTTTGACGTGATACATTATTTTTTTTAGAAAGCTAGCCCAACTCCACAAACAGAAAAGGAGACCCTCGTTACTCTTGTACTAGGTTGCTGCATAAGTGCTGTCCGATTGGCAATTTTCAAACTCAATACATCAGAACTTCTTTGAAATCACTCTTTTTTTCGATAATCTCAGTTTCTGGGAATCAACCAATTTTTTCGCTATCAGAAGCATACCCAAAGGAAAAACGACACTGAGCAAGAAGCAAAAATTCAAAATTTTTATGATGTCTTTGTTTGAGCTGCCTTCCTTTGGCACAGTATTGCGTCACTAAAAATCACATAACAACTATCGATGAACAACATAGGTATCGTTCAGTTCAGATTTTTGTCCCTTTTCTTATAGTTGTATTCTCTCTCCGATTAATGGTGTTTTTGCGATGCTCTTGCTATGGTTTGCGCAGTTTACCGGTAATGCCAAATCTTCCCAGAATTCTAAAAAAACCTTATCCTATTATTTTCGAAAAGCGCAGTAGCTGTTATGTAGAGTAAACCTTTGACTACATCACACTTGTTTCAAATTACATAGGTCACGTCTATCAAGTCTGTGGTAATCGTTTATTCAAAAAAAAACCACGGCTTTTACGGCTTTTTGATCACGTTTAGCGCATAGGAGTACCAAAATTCCAAGAAGCTGCTTTTTGAAGAATCAAACTTAATTATGCTGCACAAAAAGTGCTCAATGATAGTCCATTTTCAACTCGCGGAAATATCAGAAGCTTTCATCTTGTTACTGCATTCGCGTGTTTCATGACTTTACCAAAAATCGAGATTAAAAAATTATTTTTTCAATGCTAAAGCTTAGAAGATTAGGGGAATCTAAAAATATCACCGTATAGTCCGAGATTTGCACTCTTTGTGACACACTTAACCCTTTCCAGCACTTTGGAATACAATTTTCAAAAATCAGCTGAACTTTGAACAGCTAAAAATCACGGTTGAAGGATTTTGGCAATTATCAAAAAGCTTATGAAAGATTATGGGTCGCGAATATAACCGTAAGAAAGAGAATTAAAAGCTGCATCGACTGCATCTTGAAACTCATGCAGTGCTTCATTGTATAATACCTGAATTTATAGTCGTTTCAATAAACCGACAAAACTTTCAGGGCAACCTAATATTACTCAAGGTGAAGAAGACAAATCAGGCTCAAGTTATTCCTATTAGATTTATGCTATCGAATTTGTATACTTTGCCGCCTTTCCTCTCAATGTACGTTGTAACGCAGACTTAGCATGCTACCGTAACCAATATTTTCCACAATAAAGAAGAAAACGGCTTTTCAATCTTATAAAAGAGACGATTTCGGACGGAATTATCAGTGCGAAGAGAAGAAACGTTTCGCGAATATTACAGACAGTGTTCGATAGAATAAAACTCGTAGTTTGGGCAAGAGTAATTCAAGCCTATTTCATCTTCTTTAATCTGCATGATTGCTAAAAGCAAAACCACTGAAAGCGAAAAATGGCAGCTGGTTTTTTAGGCTTAATTATATTAGGTTGTCCCGAAAGTTTTGTCGGTTTCTTTCATCGCTCACTAAAACTCACAGAACATCAGTCCATAAGCGATGTAGGCACCATTTGATTCAGATTTTCTTCCCCTTTCTTACAGCTATACTTGCTCCCTGATCTACCCTGTCTTTGCAATGCTGTCGCCATGACTTTTTGAGCAGCTTAATGTAACGCCAAACCTTTCCTAAATTTTGAGAATTTTTATCCTGACATTTTTGAAGAGCGCTGGTAATTGTTATGTAGGGCAAACCTTTGGCTACATTACCTATTTCAGATTACATGGGACAATTTTATCAAGTCCTTATTATTTATTCGAGAAAACCGCGGCTTCGTTTAACATGCAAAACTACCGGAAATTCCAAATAACTGATTTTTCAAAGCAAATCAAACTTAGCTAGGTAAACAGGCTAGGCTAGCATAACTAATGTTTAGTAACAAATAAGATTCGATTTGTAAAAACTTCAAAAGTTTTCATGTTTTTGCTGCAGTTGCGGGTCTTACGACTTTGTCAAAAATCGAGACCTCCGAAGAAACGATTTTTTAGAGCTAAATGTAGCAGATTGAGGAAATCTAAAAATATTACCGTATAGCTCGAGAATTGCTCTATTTGAGCCATACTTAAACCATTCCGAAACTTTGGATTGAAATTTTTAAAAATTAGCATAACTTTGACCAGATAGAATTTACGAGAATTTTGGCAATTATCAAAAAAACATACAAACTTGTGGTTCGAAAATATATGCATAAGAAAGAGAAGGGAAAGCTGCATCGAATGCATGTTCGAACTCATTCAAGTCTTCATTGTGCGCGATTTCATGGTCGTTTGAAGAAACCGATAAAACTTTCGGAACAACCTAATACGAGGTGTCCCAAAAGTAAGTACACACTTTTCAATCGTCGATATCTCTCTTCCCAATGGGTCTTTTTTACCACTTAAGTAACATTCGGTAGAGGAGGCTTTAACTTAGATTTGCAGTATCGATCGACTCACCGATAGTTCTTCGTTACTGTAGGATTTTGGTAAGAATTTCTAGCCTGTGGAACCATTGTGAACTAAACCATTTGACTAAATTTTTTTTCAAAAAATCTGAAAATCGTGTACTGGGTTTTCGCGCACGCTGGTTCCACCACACAAATTTTTACGAGTGTTTTGAGCTTTTTTGACTGTGTAATCACATTTCTGACAAATACTGGGAATTCGGTCATCACGGTTTACCTGGGATAAACTTTGGAAAGAAGCATGGCAGTAAATTGTAAACTTCATATTTGGCGGCTTCCATTAACATAGAATTGGAGTTTTTGGCTTGTTTGGTTTCGTAAGGCAGAATATGGCTTCCAATTGTCTAAAATCCTTGTCGAAATTCCTACAGTAATCCTACAGTAACGAAGTGCGATTGGTGATTTGTTCGATACTGCAAATCTAAGTTGAAGCCTCCTCTACATAATAGTAATTGAATGGCAGGAAAAGACACAGTGGTAAGAGAGATATTAACGATCGGAAAGTGTGTACTTACTTTGGACACCCTGTATATTAGGACATTACGAAAAGTTTCGCTTCCAGGCGTAATATACTGCAGAAAAATGATCCTCGAAGCAGATTTTCATCCTCTTTTGAATGGTAATCATCCTCTTCCAGTTCAACTAACGAACTCTCAGATGGCAAAAAACTGCGACCCATGCTTTTGCCACAAGGCTATTTTCTACAATGTCTGTACCTACCCCATAAAAGTCTAAGTAACGGCTAAATGGAGCAAACCCTACAAGATACGAAAAGATTTTTTTCTTTCCTGAAGTTTTCTTTTTAAAATTTTAAGTATTGATGATATTGATGATGATAATAAACGTAAATTTTTGATAATATCAGATTCTATGTTTGGTTAGTTTGAACCTCAGAAACACCAACCAGCAAGCAATTTGGGTGTCATTTGATGCAGCTTTTCCTTCTCTTTCTATGTTTGTGTGCTTCTCGATATATAAAGATCTCGATGGTAAAAACCTCATAATTAAGCTCCCCGGGGTATACGCGGAAAATTCAAGGTTTGGTATTTCGAATCTGTAAACGCTTGTTTGCTTTGTATAATAAATGTTCAATCATAATCCACCTCAAAAGTTACAAGTTACGAAGATTTATTGGTGTTTGATGCGTTTATGTCTGAGACAAGTTTGCTAAAATTTGGTGGATTTTGAAGAACCCTATCAAAAAATTATGACAGCTCCGGAAAAGGGAAAGAAGGTTTTTGTATCCTTTAGGGATCGTTCTATTTATCTACCAATTGGACTTCTTAGGGGATAATAGAAATTTTGAAAATTGGCGAAAATTGGCTATGGCAAAACCGTAATAATTTTTGTTGAATTTCCAGGAGGTCGTTGGTTATCGTTGGTTAGTTAGACTGCAGAAGGCGATTACCATTTTGGAAAAAAAAGAAAAGCCCATATGCGCTCAAAAACTTTCGAGATTCTTTATTGTGCGGGATGTTACGCCCGTATAAAAAATGCGAACTTGTTTTCGGAGTGAGTCATGTTAGGTCCTTCCCAAACTAATGTGGCTTCAAATAAACATTTCATGGAAAGAGATTTTCAGGAGAACTTGGCAGCTTCCAATGCAGCATTTCATGCTCTTCTTAATGGTTATAGATAAAATCATTGCAGCACAATCAACGAGCTCGCGGAATATTATCAAAATCGCGATCCATGCTTTTGGAGATGATCACGTTCCACAATTCTTGTAAATGTTTTC